TTGCTCTAAAAATTTAAAATAAAAATATCGTTTACATTTTACTATGTTCCTTACATGTAGTGCAAAAAACCTAACCAAAGTACGTTTTTTTCACCAATGTATTCTTCCGCTCAAGAAAAAAGTTCTACTCCAGAAACATTATAACATACAATGTATTCTAAAATGCATTAAAAACGATTTTCAAGTCATTAAAACAACAAATAACATCCGTAGAACTGTATTAAACTTCTCTCAGAAACGAAGGTTTGTATAAAAAAGTTGGAAAACGATCATTTCAATTAGGCTTGTAAGATTAAAAAATTAATAGAATTATTTTCTATCTAGTTGTTAGTTTTTATTTTAGGCTATATATAGCTTCCAAAGTTTTATATGTAAAGTTATAAGTGATTTATGTGTGAAATTATTTGTAAGTTATTTTGCTCTAACCTAAATTGTACCAAAAAGAATGAAAATTACATTGCAGATTACTCCATAACACTTAATCAATCACATTGCTAAAATTATATAGGGTAAACTAACCAGTGAAGGAACACTTAAGCTTCGCTTGCATTTTAAAAAATCATATTAATTTCAAAATTCGTAATTTTTGTTGAATGACAGTGTCACCATATTTGTTACTAATTGAAAATTGTGTGAAAAAAATTGTAGAGAACTTACATAATATTGTTTTAAAGTTTTAAAGGTTCAAATAACAAGTAATAAGAAGACCAAGTGAAGGAACAGCTCTTACCAGTGAATGAACACCCAGTAAAGGAACACTTCATTTTGGTTATTTTTTAATGCTCTTTATGAATTTATAAGCCATACGAATATCGAAAAACAGGCCTATTTATTGAAATTATAACATACAAATACTTGGAAAATTTTAACTATTTTTTGTAATCATGAATTGAAAAGAAAAGTGTCAACATATTAACACATACTGTTCATTTTTTGGGAAATCTATGCCCAGTAAAGGAACATGCTTGTTCTTTCACTGGTTAGAAGTTGTTTTTTGCATTTTTAACATACTTTGATGCAAAACATCACTAAAGGTACAAGAAAATTAAATTTTTTCTTTCATTTTCATTAACTTAGAAAAAACCCAGTAAAGGAACACTTGTTCCTTCACTGGTTTTTCATCGTTTGGTGAGCCAGTGAATAAACACTCAGTACTTGATTATGCTATGATGCTTAAAAAAATAAAACTTAACTTCAATAACTATATTTCGAATTCTTATTTTCGCAGTGAGAAAAATAAAACTATGACATGCAATTAATTCTACTTCAAACATATCAATACAAACACTCACCTAGTAATTTTTCAAAGAAATAAGGTGTTGCAGAGATAAATTTTTCCAGAGAAGTCTATTTGACCAGGTAGCCCAAAACATTACTAAATGACTTCCTATTGTTTGGTAGTAAGCTATTGTTACCAATATATCTAAAGAAAAACTTTCATATTATTATTTTTAATCAATATATATATATGAAATGTTCCTTCACTGGTTGATTTACCCTATATAATCAAAGTTATCATCCATTTATAAACTAAAATATCTTTTATTTTTAAAATTGATAATAGTAAAAAAATAATATAATTTAAAAAGTTGTTTAATTCTAACTTTTAGTTACATAATTCCTTGATGACTTATCTAAATATAAAGTTTATTTTCTTCCCTCCTCTTAGAATAGGATAACGTGTTATTTTTATTTTTCAGAAATCGATGGTAGATTCCATGATCTAGATATTGAAAAATTAGAGAAAAAGAATAAATTTTCAACGAAAAATGGATCTTTAGTTATAGATGTTGTTAGAAAAGAAGACGATGGTATTTACCAATGTATTGCCTCAAATGATGTGGGCGAACCTCTAACAAAATCTGCTAGTTTGCGAGTCATTGGTGAGGAACTTTTCAAGGAAATGTCTCAATTTCTTTAATCTGTTTTATTTTATAAAATGATGGAAAAAATTTTATTATAACAAAATATCTGAATGATTATATTAATATATAATAATTATAATATCATTTAATATAACCATTTATTATTATTAATTTTATTAAATGATTGTATGATAATTTTTCATTCTGATTCAATAATTTCTTTTAAATTTTTAAATCAAAAATTTTGTTCACCAATTTTTTAGCATCAAAATCATGTTCAATTTTATGTGTTTATTGATTTCTTTTTAATTAAAACTCAATACGTACTTTATTCTTTTTATAAAATTACACAAAACAACCCATATAAATAATGGAAAGTGTTCGACGACATAAATTTTGTATTATTTTAACCAAAATTTTGCTTGTGACGTACGAAATATAATGTGTATATGTTTGTGGTTAAAATATTTTTCTCGTTTCAATTTCCCCCACTACGTGGCGCATCACAATCATTCTTGCAAGATTGTTCTATTTGTTACACAAAGCGTTTTATTAATGTGATGTGGTCTTCTACATGCTTATGAACTACATGACGATTCCATCGACAGTGTGAATGATATATTAGCGTATTCATAATGTACGTTTCCAGTTTCCGATCAAAGCGTCTTCAAAGTAAACTAACCATTGTAACCAATATCAGTTTGGTATTGCTCTGCTTCACTGTACAAGCATCTTCTGAAAATGGTAAGTAAACTTGAATTCAATTTATTATTGTGTTTAGAAAATATAAAATTGTTAAAAAATAATATTGCTTTGTTTTTCTATGTCAAAAAATTACTTTTATTATATTTTGAGTTTATCTTCTATAAAATTAGGAGAAATTCATTCAACAATTGACATTTTAATATATGTTATTATTTGTGTATGTGCAAACATTCATACACATAATATATTTACCACCTTATATGTAAACTGAATATTTACAGAATAAATATTACACGTTTTATAAATAACTTTAGAGCTTGGTTTTATTGAAAATTGAACTGTGTTGAAGATAAAATTACAATATTTTCCAAAAATTGAGAAAGCACCAGCTTTGCATATGCAATCTAATGTAAAACGCTTTTCCTTCCAATTTTTATTACGTTTTTAACGTTCATTTAAAATTTTTCTTATTTTTTTCACTTTAACTGTAAAAGTAAAAATAAAGTTTGAAAATAGTAAAAACTTAAATGCAATGCTTAGCAAGTGAGTTCAAACAAAACGTCGCTGAAAAAGAAACTAACTTAAAATTAAAAATTTATAATGAAGAATAATTTCTTCGGCTTATTTAAGCAAAACTTTATGTTAAAAAACTAAATATATTGATTTAAGTTGGATATTTATAATACAAAATATTTAGAAAAATGAATTTGTCATAATTTCATAACTTTGACCAAGAAACAGAGTTAATTTTAAAGCATTTAGATATTTTATGTTGTTTCAGATATATAAAATTACTAAAATTTAGCTTTAATTTTCATTAACAGTTCACTCTGTTCTACAATTTTTCAGATGATTGGAAAATTCAGCCTTTTGTCTTCCCACCATCTCCTATAGTAGGTACTAGAGTGAGTACAGTGTGTTCAACTAATACAGGAAAGGGATTAGATTTCAAATGGTTTAGAAATGGAAAGTCGATTGAAGGACTCTCTAATATTAAGACACATTCTTTACTTGAGTCTTCCATGATTGTCATTGAACCATTGACTGAAGATGACGGTGGAAATTACACTTGTGTTGTGAAATC